ATGGACTTTAGATTATCAATCTTTTGATGAAGTTCACCTAGCACCGTCTTTTTGTTGTCCGCCATTTGGTTCATCTGTTCTCTCAAGGCTTTATTTTCTTCTAACACTTTTTCCAACAGCAGAACATAGTGGTCTGACAATGAAATGCTCCTATTTACAAAACATATATGTAGTTTTTCCTCAGAAATTATTAAAATATAAAACGAGTTAGGTGCCAGAACAAATGTTGGAAGCTAGTGAATGTCTTGTGTAGTTGTGTTTGGTGTTCCTGTGAACAATCATGTGACCTATTGAATGACAATTGTTACTATGCCCCCTGGCATAGAATAAGAAATGAATAGAAGCAGGGGCGGATCCAGACTGATGCCAGCGATGCGAATGCATCGGTCAAAATTGAGAAATCATGATTCATGTAGCTTGAAATATATAGATATATTAAATGTCGTCAATACTCAAAGCACTCAGTAATAAAATATCTCATATCAACCTGCAAATCTTTGCTTAAATGACTCCATGTCAGGAATACACTATTTAGGATGAAATCCAATTTAAATAGTCTCAATAACAGTCGAAATTGTCAAAATAAGTCCAATATGCGACATGTGATCGCAAATGTGTTCTTTCTGTTATTTTGCGACACTTAAGCGTAATATTTTCACGACAAAATATGTTATTTTTACCGCATCCTTTGACGTCACAGTTGAAGCAAAATGCATCACCTACGTCACGTTAGATTCGATTTGGCATCACTGGCATCCATTTTGCATCAGTGAATGCATCAGTCCCGAGTTCTTTTCCACGTGAAATCTAACGTGACATCATCAAATCTATTGTTTTAGAGCCCTACGTCACGTTAGATTTGGCCGCTGAGCGATACATTGCATGCAGATTGCGGGCGCTCGCATCGGTGCACTGATGCAAATTCAAATCTACTGTGACGTATTAAACGAGGCATTCTATTCAAGTCATGGCGGCAAGGATATTTAGATATGCAAACACTATATGCAAATGAGACAAATAATGCGAAGAGAAACCCTCAAAATTGACAGATAACAAATAATTTACAGTCGAACCAATTACTACCAAGTGGAAAAATGGAAGGGATCTTATGCCCACGCTGTGAAACTCGATCGAACATTCGAACCGAGGGCTCTATAAATTAAGTAAGTTTTTACAAATGGTAGTAAATTACTAAATTGTTCAGTTCAAGAAGTGTGTAATTAAAGTGGAAAATGGGGTCCACAATTAATATAGATTTGTATGTAATAACAAAATAATTACAGTTTGTGTCTATTACTGTTGTTGCTCTATATTCTAGAAAGAGGGGGAGTTTTACATTTTACAGAGGTTTGCTTGTCTGGAGGCAAACTAGCCCCAATACAAAACTTCACAGCTTGCTTTACTGAGGCAAATTTCATCTCTGTTTACATGGGATTATATCCTGTGCCCAGACCTTCATTTTTCTCACAGCTGGCAGGCAAAGAAAAATGAAGCCCTGATACACAAGTTATTAAATGTTTGGGTCCTACAGTCCTACAACTGCCTTTATGGTTCATGGTTGTAACTCCGATTGGCTATTTCTAGCATGAGTATTCATGCCATATTTAATGTATTGTTTTGATAATTGGTTAATGCTATAATTAAAATTGTTATTATGATATATTTAATGATTGTAACTATATTTAGCTTGTTATTATGTGAAATTGACATTTCTTCTGGCACATTTTGATTGGATACCAAAAATAAAACT